ATAAGGGTTGCATTTGGGAAAAATCATGAATAAGCACTGGGTATGGGATGCAGCTTTTATAGTATCAAGAGGGTAGAGTACTCATTGATGCTCAGGAGGATGTGATTGGCTTGTTTGAATAACTGCACAGACTGGCATGGAACTGAAACTTACTTCTCAGGGATGAGGAGGAACTTGACCTGATCTATTTGATGACACAAGTTCTTCAGCTAGGAAACCTTATTTGTGGGAGCAGAGTAGGGAAGAATACAGTAGGGCTATTTAAATCCCTTTCAGATGCCCTCAGCTATCACAGAAGCCAATAATATCGGGCCTTAATTTTAAGACTTGAACCATAGTGTATTAATGAATCTTAGCTATAGGAAGGGAAGACAAGATATGAGAATAAAGCTGTAATTGTTTCTTAAAAGTGGCACTCATTTTAGACAAGAGTCAGGATTTCTGGTGTTTCGGGGTGGCACAATGACCTTGCCTTTGTCTGTACTTAGACAAAATTATTAAGTGGCCCTACTGTGTCTCATTTTATCATGGTCTCAAAGTAGCCTGAGGTTGGTGTTATTTCCAGCAGGGGAATAAAATAACATTTATCTCTGAGAGCTGGGCCAGTTTCCAAATCTCAGAGGCTGCTCCTTTTACAGTCAAAAGAGCCTGTTGGTGGTGGGAGGCTAAATTAGATGGGTTGGTCAAGGAAAGTTTTCTGAAAGACGGATATCAAAACTGAGCCTTTACCAATATGGAGCCATCCACATAGAGAAGAACTGAGGAGAGTACAGGCAGGAGAGAAAAGGGGGAAAATATGTGAGAGAGCATTCCTGTCTGCAGGAAACAGCAAGTATGAGCAAGGAAACATTTCATACCGAGAGGTGTGATGAAAACTATCAGGAGTGTGGCTCTTTGCTTCAGTGCTCTCTAGGGGTTGAATATGGAGGAAGTACCAGAATCTCAGAACATGGGAAGTAAACTTTTGGAAAGCCTCAAAGGAATCCTGATGCAGTGGTCCTCCAAGAGAGATTCCTCCCACTGCCTCTACCCTTCCTTCACAGATTTAAGTTCAATCACATAGACTTTATATGAAAAGTTCAATAGTAATTGATATTTTAATATGACCCTGTATAACATACAACAAAATTTCTTGTCCAAGAATGTTTCACCAACATCCAGGGAGATAGATGGGGTTGTTCACTTGTGAATGTGCTGTCAGTGGCAGAAGATCAATGATCCTAGATAGAAGTTTCTTTGCTCTCTGGAAACTAGACTGTAGTGATTTTTCTAGACCATCTAACATATAACATATTTGAGTGGGGTCTCCATTCCTACTTAATAGTGAAACATTCCTAGGATATGGTTTTATCATTCCAAACATCTGTTCATATTCAGTTCATGCATTTGAACACTATTACAATAGTTGGTTTTAAGCCACCATTGCTACCAGTTGGGGATTTAACTAACATACCAACACAGGAAAATATTAACAATGATAAACAACTCAGACAGCAGAGAATAAAGGTTACAGGCATGGACTCTGAAGCCAGACAGCCTAGGTTCAAATGACAACGTTGCACTTTCTAGCTGTGTCTTTGTGGGTTTGTTACTTAGCTTACCAATAAAGTGGGATAATACTAGTACCTACCTCAATGGTTTATTGGGAATAAAATATATAGTGATTTCTTAGACCCAGCACAGGATAACATTATGTAAGACCTAGCTTTGTAATAATGATTACAACTATATATTATAAAATTTTAAAAAGGTAATTAATACCCTATTCCTATAGTTGAAGAGTTAATTATGTACTAATCAGTATATATAAATGTTCACAGATCCTATTGAGGAATAATTTTTATCACTTATGGCTCTATATGGGATCTCTACTTTTGCTACAAGGTCAATGACATAATAAATCAGTTTTTAGCAAAATCTGAAACTGTGCATTTAATTTAAAATATTTTTCCTGTCTGCCTGATATGTCTGATTCATTCAAGCCTACTGTAGATAACAGTTTTAATACATTATGTGACTGAGCTTTTTGGACTTTGCTAAAGAATACACTAAGAGTCTCAGATCTTTAATTGAGGCGACCATATTTAGTACCACTGAAATAAGTGTGATAACAGCTTGATCATGCAAAGCTTGGCATGAAAACAACACCTGCCTGGTGTTAATAAGATACATGAATTTCAGACAACAGAAAACCAAGGAAAATTAACACTTTGTCTGTCTTGATAAAATACCAACAGCGTTCTCATTCTTTCATGATATTCAAAAGTTTATTTGAATTTCTATGAGATGTGAACAGAAAAAACACATGGATTATGGGCTCATAGCAGGTGAGGGGTTTTAAAATATTGCTTAATCTTTATATATACTATCAAATTTATTAGACAAAATAAAAGAAAAAAGAAGGAAAAATAAATTTTTTTTTGTTCTGGATATTCATTACAACAAACCAGGATGAATGATCTGAGGATGAATTTTAAGTATCTTAATACGCCTGATTGTATTGGACATTAGTGTAAACATGCATACCCACCTCTTCTCTCAAGGTTCAGGGTCTCAGTAGAAATATGTTGAAAATCTCTATCAATTGGTATTTTTATGTATAAGAGAAAATATTTCACTTCTTTCACAAACCTACTTTCATTATTTAAGAAAAGAAAAAATCTTAATACAACAGTTATTAAAGGAATAACTTAGTGCAGATACCATCTTCTGATTGTCTCCCCTCAGAGTCTTGATTCTAAGCTAGGACATTATCAGAGTTTGCACTGGTCACCAAAGAGCTTTGACACGGTATTACCTAAATCGTTGTGTTATTACGAGCAGAACTGAAAAACTACAACTTCTTTTTGTTCTTGTGAAATAAGGAAATTCATCCTCCAGCAGCTTCAGAGTATCGTTAGTTAAAAAAAAAAAAAGATGATTCTTGTGTTTGTTGCCAGATTCATACAAGACTTACAAAACCCTAATGTCATACACACTGAATTTTCAGTGGTTTTTGTTTGCTTGTTTCTTTGCTTGTTTCTTTAACATAAATAGAATAAATTCTCTTGTTAGACTGCTTTCTATTTCTAATGGACATGTGTACACATAATTGTTTGGATGCAAACTTATGCCTTGTTTCCTCCCAGTTATTTATTTATTTATTTACTTATTTACTTATTTACTTATTTACTTATTTTGAGACAGAGTCTCTCTCTATTGCCAGGTGCCAGGCTGGAGTGCAGTGGCACAATCTCAGCTCACTGCAATCTCTGCCTCCCGGATTCGAGCAATTCTGCCTCAGCCTCCCAAGTAGCCGGGACTACTTGGGAGTGTGCCACCACGCCCAGCTAATTTTTGTATTTTTTTAGTAGAGATGGAGTTTCACCTATGTTGGCCAAGATGGTCTCGATCTCCTGACCTTGTGATCCGCCCACCGTGGCCTCCCAATAGTTATTTGTTTTACATAAAAAAATCTTAGTACCTACACCAAAAGGTAGATATTTTTTCTGTTTCTATAATATTTTTCCTATTTCTATAATATTCATGCATAGTCAGCATTTAGTTGGCTGTGATAAACTGTCCAAAGAAAGTAAGGATAATTGAAATCCATTGTACTGCAAAATTTCATTCAATATTCTTTGCTTAAACTTATATTATGTCTTACAATTGGCCATAACTGCTAATAGACCAACTGAAGATATTTTAATTTTAATTTCTTTCATTCTTCCAAAGATTTTGATAACCAAAAACACTGTATGAATAGTACTTTACAGTTTATAAGCACTTTGACATAAATTGTCACTTTTGATCTTCCCAATATCCTTCTGGGAAAAGACGTTATAGAATTATGGAAGATTTTATTATTCTCACTTTATATATTAATAAACTGAGAATCAATCATCATGTTCTGAAGGAAATACAGGTAATAAGCTCTAGGAAAGTTAAGCATCTAGAATTTCAAAGTTTGTTGAATGTATTGCATTGCACTGAGAAAGTATATTATCTTTTATCCACAGGAATCCCTTCTGTCTCCTTGTTGCTTTGTGTCCATGTTATTCTCTCTACTGTTTCTGGACCTTTGAATGATTTTCTTCATTTCCTTTACTCCCTTATGCCCCCTGTCTTGAATATCCTGCTTCTCTCAAATACCTAAATCCTGTTCATCTCTCGAGGTCCAGCATGAGTTCCATCCTCTCCAGGAAGTCTTCAGCCCTCACTGTTCTTACTTAACAAATATAGTGTTTACAGGAATTTATTCTTAAGTTCTTAAGTGTTTCATTTATGTTCATCTAAAATCTCCTACCAGATTATAAGCAACTGAGAATAGAGACCAAGTCTTATACTTTTTTGAAACTCACAACATTCTAGCACTGGATATAGATATAATAAATGCCTGCTAAATATTTGGTGATTGTTTAATCTACCCAATGGAGACAATGCTGAACCATGTCTCATCGTCCTTATCTGTATTTCCAACCACGTGGCTTGTGATTTAGCAGGTATAGTAATTTACTATAGTAGAGTTCAGTGTGGGTGTTTTCAATATGTTCATACATCAGTTGACCCTAACATTGATTCCTAACTGTCAGTGATGTCCAGTCGTATGACCTAGGAGATCAAATTAACTACAGGTGCCTGATGGATTCCCTGAATAGAGTAAACATTTGGCCCATATATCAGCATTGAGAACAGGAGCAGGAGACATTATGCTGTGATTGCATTTCTATAGAATTACATTAGCATTACACATTCTGCTAGTTATAATTTCTCAGCAGATCAGAGACATCTATCAATGGTATTTCCTGTGTTCTATCATATGAAAATGCATTCCATTATTCATTAGAAGTGTTGCTGGTCAAGCATATTATCCTTATAAACTTAGTTTTTAAGAAAGAAATGTTTATGTGAAAATAACATACTTAACAGTCATGTGAAAAATGGATGTCACTGTATGACAGTTTGACTCTTCTGAAATGTATTTGGTTTAATCAAATAGCTGCTTTTGTTCATATTTTAAGGTGAATTTGGAGAAGTCTGTAGTGGGCGTTTGAAGACACCAGGGAAAAGAGAGATCCCAGTTGCCATTAAAACTTTGAAAGGCGGCCACATGGATCGGCAAAGAAGGGATTTTCTAAGAGAAGCTAGTATCATGGGCCAGTTTGACCATCCAAATATCATTCGCCTGGAAGGTGTTGTCACAAAAAGTAAGTTACTGAGTTTCTTCATTACTTCTTTTACCTACCTGTCTCATTTTTTTAAGAAAAGAAAAAATTTTTAAATTAATACCACAGTCATTAAAGTAATAACTTAGTTCAGATATCATCTTCTGATTATCTCCCCCTCAGAGTCTTGATCCTAGGCTATGACATTATCAGAGTTTGCACTGGTCACCAAACAGCTTTGACATGATATTGCCTGTAAATCATTGCTAACATAACTTGAAGTAATGAATCAAGAGTAAAGGGTTATGTATTTTTTTTTGAAATGTCAACATGTTTTTATGATACTTTAAGTTCTGGGGTACATGTGCAGAACGTTCAGGTTTGTTACATAGGTATACACGTGTCATAGTGGTTTGCTGCATCCATCACCCCATCATCCACATTAGGTATGTCTTCTAATGCTATCCCTCCTCTAAACCCACCCCCTGCTATCCCTCCCCTAGCCCTCCCACCTCCTTGACAGGCCCCAGTATGTGATGTTCCCCTCCACGTGTCCATGTGTTCTCATTGTTCATCTCCCATTTATGAGTGAGAACATGTTGTGTTTGGTTTTCTGTTCTTGTGTCAGTTTGCTGAGAATGATGATTTCCAGCTTCATTCATGTTCCTGCAAAGCACATGAACTCATCCGTTTTTATGGCTGCATAGTATTCTATAGTATATATGTGCCACATTTCTTTATCTAGTCTATCCTTGATGGGCATTTGGGTTGGTTCCAAGTCTTTGCTATTGTGAATAGTGCCACAATAAACATACATATGCACATGTCTTTATAACAATGATTTATAATCCTCTGGGTATATACCCAATAATGGGACTGCTGGATCAAATAGTATTTCTAGTTCTAGATCCTTGAAGAATTGCCACACTGTCTTCCACAATGGTGAGGGACGATCTGGCTGTGACATCTCTCACCTCATTGATTGCCAGGGTTGATTCGGTTGCAAAGTCAGTATTAACAGAACAAACACTTTGAGTGTTTTGGGTCATTAAGGTAAAATGTTTAGAAATAAAGGTCATATACAAATATAAAATACTTCCACTGCAGTAAAACTTACAAACAAAAAGTTCTACATTGAACCTATATAAATGGCATAAAAAGTAAATTATTTTACTTTATATTAAATGCAAAAAGTGTTTTTTCTTCTTTTATTCTTTATATATGTATATATTTTTTTATATTTATATGTTATATTTATAATATTTTATATATAATATTTATATTTAATATTTTATATTTTATATATATTTTTTTGAACTTTAGGTTCTAGGGTACATGTGGAGAACATGCAGGATTGTTGCATAGGTTCATACATGGCAATTTGGTTTGCTGCCTCCATCTCCTCATCACCTATACTTGGCATTTCTCCCCCTGGTATCCCTCCCCAACCTCACTACCCTCCACTGTTCCTCCCCTATTCTCCCCAGACAGACCCCAGTGTGTGATGTTCCCCTCCCTGTGTCTATGAGCTCTCGTTGTTCAACACCCACCTATGAGTGAAAATATGCAGTGGTTTTTTTTTTTCTGTTCTTGTGTCAGATTGCTGAGAATTATAGTTTCCAGATTCATCCATGTCCCTACAAAGGACACAAACTCATTGATTTGTATGGCTGCATAGTATTCCATGATATATATGTGCCACATTTTCCTTGTGCAGTCCATCATCGATGGGCATTTGGGTTGGTTCCAGGTCTTTGCTATTGCAAACAGTGCTGCAATGAAAATATGCGTGCATGTGTCTTTATAATAGAACGATTTATAATCTTTGGATATATATATACCCGGTAATGGGATTGCTGGGTCACATGGAATTTCTATTTCTAGGTCTTTGAGGAATCACCACACTGTCTTCCACAATGTTGAACTAATTTACACTCCCACCAACAGTACAAAAGTGTTCCTATTTCTCCACATCCTCTCCAGCATCTGTTGTCTCCAGATATTTTAATGATCACCATTCTAACTGTCCTGAGATGGTATCTCAATGTAGTTTTGATTTGCATTTCTCTAATGATGGGTGAATGTGAGCATTTCTTCATATGTTTGTAGGCATCACAAAGGTCTTCATCTGAAAAGTGTCTGTTCATGTCCTTTGCCTACTTTTGGATGATTTTTTTTTCTTTTATACCTGTTTTATATCTTGGTAGATTCTGGATAGTAACCCTTTGTCAGATGGGTAGATTACAAAAATTTTTTCCCATTTTATTGGTTACCTATTCACCCTAATGATTGTTTCTTTGCTGTATAGAAGCTCTGGAGTTTAATTAGCTCTGATTTATCTATTTTGGCTTTTGTTGTCAATGCTTTTGGTGTTTTAGTCATGAAGTCCTTGCCTATGCCTATGTCTTGAATTGTTTTGCCTAGGTTTTCTTTTAGGGTTTTTATGATGTTAGGCCTTATGTTTATGTCTTTAATCCATCTGGAGTTAATTTTAGTGTAAGGTGTCAGGAAGGGGTCCAGTTTCTGCTTTCTGCACATGGCTAGCCAGTTTTCCCAACACTATTTATTAAACAGGGAATTCTTTCCCCATTGCTTGTTTATATCAGGTTTGTCAAAGATCAGATGGTTGTAGATGTGTGGTATTGCCTCTGAGGCCTCTGTTCTGTTCCATTGGTCTATATCTCTGTTTTGGTATCAGTACAATTCCTCAAGTAAAAATTCTTCTTTCACAGAAAGAACAGAAAAAAGTTTATTCCTTTGAAAGGAAATGTCTTTAAAAATCCAAAATTAGCCATAAACTCTAAGAAATCAATTGCTATATATTCACTTTCATTTGAATAATGACAGGGTATAAAATATGATAATATTTCTCATTACTTTATTCACTAAGAATTATACATATAAAATGCAATACAGATCTGGCCTTTTAAAACTAACTTCAATCCTTGAGAGAGGCATTTTTCTTTCATAAAACTAACATTTATTTTTAAAATCATTAAATTGAAACTTTATGTCATATTTGGAAGCAGGAAAGTATAAAAACTTTCTAAAGTGATGTAATCGACTCTGTGTCTGAAACTGCTAAGTCCTTCTCACAAGGCATTGTCCAACATGCTACCCAAAATGAGTAGATTACCGACAGCTATGAAAGTTTGGAAGACAGAAAAGAATGCTTCTGATGACAGATGTTGTGGTGAGCTATTATTTTAGTGGCCTTAATGGGGCCTTTCAGTATTCATGTCATTGTATAGTTATTTCCCACATTGATTCTGGGCTTTTCTATGTGACAAACCTTGGTCAATGGGACATTAGCAAGTGTGATGCAAGTGAATGCATCTTACATGTTTGTATATTGGAGCTTGTCCTCTTGCAACACTCTTTCCTGGAACCCAGTCTCTATGCCTATGGGAGGTAATCCATAAGATGAAGCCACATGCAGTACTGCACTTTTCAAAAGATGGCATTTGTGAGGCCTACAAACATATGAAAAAATGTTCATCATCACTCATCATTAGAGAAGTGCAAATCAAAACCACATTGAGATACCATCTCATGCCAGTTAGAATGGTGATCATTAAAAAATCTGGAGATAACAGATGCTGGAGAGGATGTGGAGAAATAGGAACACTTTTACACTGTTGGTGGGAATGTAAATTAATTCAACCATTGTGGAAGACAGTGTGGCGATTCCTCAAGGACCTAGAAATAGAAATTCCATTTGACCCAGCAATCCCATTACCGGGTAGATACCAAAAGGATTACAAATCATTCTATTATAAAGACACATGCACACGTATGTTCATTCAGCACTGTTTACAATAGCAAAGACCTGGAACCAACCCAAATGCCCATTGATGATAGATTGCACAAGGAAAATGTGGCACATATACACCATGGACTACTATGTAGCCATACAAATCGATGAGTTCATGTCCTTTGTAGGGACATGGATGAACCTGGAAACCATCATTCTCACCAAACTGGCACAAGAACAGAAAAAAAAAAAAAAAAAAAAAAAAACACTGCATGTTCTCACTCATAGGTGAGTGTTGAACAATGAGAACTCATGGACACAGGGAGGGGAGCATCACACACTGGGGTCTGTTGCGAGGGAAATGAGGAGGGACGGCGGGGGGTAGGGAGGTTGGGGAGGGATAACAAGGGAAGAAATGCCAGATATAGGCAACGGGGGGGTGAAGGCAGCAAACCACAATGCTATATATGTACCTATGCAACAATCCTGCATTTTTGCCCATGTACCCTAGAACCTAAAGTGCAATATGTGTGTGTGTGTGTGTGTGTGTGTGTGTGTGTATGTATGTGTATACATATCTCTGTATGTATATATATATGAAGAGAACTGAGGTGATCCAGCCAATATACACATCTGAACTCCAAGCAGAATGTCAGCACTGAATGCCAGCCTTGTGAGAGAACCATCTCCATTGTTACAGCTCCACCACCACTGCTCTTAGATAGCTGTAGCTGTGGTCCACATCTTTTGCAGGAAAGGAACCATGCACCTCCATCCCATCAACCCATAAATTCTTAAAGATGATTAAATTGTTGTTGTTTTAAGCCACTAAGTTTCAGATGGTTTGTTGCACAGAAATAGATAACCAGACAGATGGTCCCCAATTAGAATTCTGCTCCTGCCACTTAAGAATTACACAGCTGGCCGGGTGCGGTGGCTCACACCTGTAGTCCCAGCACTTTGGGAGGCTGAGGCGGGGTGATCACGAGGTCAAGAGATCGAGACCATCCTGGTCAACATAGTGAAACCCCGTCTCTACTAAAAATACAAAAAAATCAGCTGGGCATTGTGGTGCGTGCCTGTAATCCCAGCTACTTGGGAGGCTGAGGCAGGAGAATTGCCTGAACCCAGGAGGCAGAGGTTGTGGTGAGCCGAGATCGTGCCATTGCACTCCAGCCTGGGTAACAAGAGTGAAACTCCGTCTCAAAATAAAAAGAATTACGCAGCCACAGGTAAATGATTTAACATCTCTATCCTTTACTTCTATATCTGTAAAACAGGACAGAAA